GTTTCCCTGCTGAGACTGCTGCCCCCGCGACCCGACCTCGGATAAGCGGGAGAAAATGGATGAATGGATGGAGTGAGGCATGCCGACTGAGACCGAGCATGGGAGATGATTACCCACAATTCCGCAGCGTGAGAAAGTGAATAACAATTGGTTCAGTTGTGATGACGTGTGCTCGGCGTCAAAACAAGAAGCTCACGCATGCGCTTCCTGTTTTGAAGCCGAGTGCACGTAAAAACAAGAAAAACAAGGAGCGCATGTGTGCCATATGATTTTTGATGATACTTGTAAACCAGGACTTGTTCGGTTTCCAAGTCAAAATTTATTAAAAATCTTTGCTCATCATGCGGAACACTCGTAAACCGCGTTACTCGTAATCCGAGGTTCCACTGTATATGTATGTGTATGTATATGTATGTGTATGTATGTATGTATATGTATGTATGTGTGTGTGTGTGTATGAGTATGTGTATGTATATGTATATGCATGTATATGTATATGTATGTGTATATTGGTAGTGTGGCGATGTGCTCGGCCCTCGGGGCGAGGCGGGGTGCGGTGTTGGGTTCGCGGGGGCGGGGCAGGATGATATTTTGGCAGTGTTTTGGGGAGAGCTTTGGGGAGGGGGTGTACTGCTAGAGGGCGGCCTTTTGTTTGATTGGTTTGAGGGACGGGGTGTGGTGGGTGGTGCGGTTGTGTGGTGGGGTGTTTTGGGTGATCACCGTCGTCATGTGCGGTGGGGAGCAGAGCAGGTGTTTAGCGCTGTGGAATGTTTCGCTGCGGACTCTAGTAGCGGGCTTCTCGCCTGTCTAACTTCTCGGTTGAGCGTGTAGTGGAGTGTAGATGAAGCAATGTAGGTGGAGAACTTGGGGCTCTTGGTTTTTTTACTTTGAGTGTAGATGGTGATCGATGGTGCGGGGGTTGGTCTCATGTCGGCTGCGATGGGGGGCCGATGTTCTTCATTGTTGCCGTGGCTCTAACACTTGACTGTGGGGGCTGTTGTGGGTGTTGTCTGGCCTTTTGCGGTTTTCTTCGCCGGTGCGGTGCTTTTGGGTGGAGGGCTGTGGTGGTGCGGATGACTTTGCGAGGTGGTGGTGTTGGCTGCTGTGTGCGGCACTGTTTTCCTACAGTGCTTGCAGGTGGTTTGTGTTTCATCTGTCGCCCTTTGTATTTTGTGCCTGGTGCCTGGGGTGCTGCTGCACGGAGGATTTGGGAGTGTCTGGGGCGTCTACTATGGCGGTTTAGTCAGGCGCCGACATGCTTGCAGCGGCTGGTTTGCAGCGCCTTCGCTGGGCCGCTTTTCT